TCCCCACCGCATCTAATGCACAATCTGTGGACATAAAAGCCCTAGTCTCACATAGAATTCCAGACTGGCAATCTTGTTTAATCTTCCAGGCCGTGGTGTTCTGTACAGAATTCAGAAACTGCCCGCAAGGACACGGTAACAATGTGACCGGTGGGGCGCGTCTGGGCCTGGTTGGTGACCAGCTTGCGCGCTGGGGAAGCTCAAACACTGCCCCGGGTGGGGGGGGGGCGAGGGGGGGATCGTACCAGGGGCCAGGGACGGTGCATTAGGAGACCAATCACCCGGGCAGCATGTGGTGGGGCTGCTGGGAGTGAGCGGAGCCTTGATGCGAGGCCACTTTGGCATCTGGGAGCTCTCGTCAACTTGGTCTAAAGGACTTCCCAGGAGACACTTAAGTGCTCAGCCTCGCTCACGGGCAATTTCACTTGGCCACTCCTCCCAAAGTCCCTGGGCCTCCCCTCACTGACGGCAACAGAGGTGCGGGCAACCAGGAGCCCTGCCGAGAGGGAGGGAGGGACCACAGGGCCATTGGCCAGCCACGTTCTACTTAAGACAATGACATTACTAAGCACATTACAGTCAGATGTGTTGCATTCACGATCTCAGCCCTCACAAGACCTGGGAGAAGTGGCTGCCTCTGTGTCTGCTGCACCACTGAGGAAACTGAGGCTTGGGGCCTGGCTGACTGGTCCAAGGCATCTCAGCTAGAAAGGGGAGAGTGGGACTCCAGCCCAGGTCCCCTCGCTCAAGCAGAGGCTCTTTCCACAAAGGCTCTGGCGGCAATTCCGACAGATGTGGAGGCTGGAGCAGGAGAGGAGGGTCATGGCTGCTCTCTAATTCCCCCCACCCCTGCAGGCAGCGCTGTAAGTGGAGGCACACCCCTGTGCAAGGCCGATCTAGGCCTGCCTCGCCGGAAGTTGCCCTAAGAACTTGGCGCGGGCATGGGGAGCCCCTGAAGCCGCAGCAGGGATCCCTGCCACATATCGAACCACCTGGCTGGTGCTGGCACAGACACTGCCAGTACCACTCCTCGGAGGGCTGAGCCCCACAGGCACGGTGACTTTCTGGGCTATTGGTGCCCATGTTCCCACTTGTCACCAGGTGCTGCTCTTGGCCAGCAATCTCGGAGGGGCCACAGAATCTGAGTGGTAGAAAGAACAAGACGCGAGGCACTTGATCCGGGTCTTCGTGCTGGTTCTGCCTCACTCCCTGGGTGCCTCTGGGATGAGCACCTCTGCAACTCAGTTTCCTCATCTGTCCAATGGGGAGAGCAGTTCCTAACCTACAGCCTCGGGGTACTTTGGGAGACCAAGGGCAAGGCGAGCACAAGAGCTCATTTGCTCTCCTCTCGGGTCACCTGCACTCAGCACAGGGCAGGGAGCTGCTGGCGGAGGCAGACTTGGGGAGAGAGAGGGCAGTGGGGCGGAAGCCACACACCCAGACTCCCCGTGATTTCTACTTCTAAGCTAGCTGACTTCCTTTCCCCCTCACTGCAGATGAATGGAGGCTAAAAGCTATTATCAGAGAGAGGGTGCAGGGAAGACATTAGCGTAGACAAGTTCAGAGGAAACATTCCAGGTAAGTTTTCTCTAACCAACAAGAGTACAGGAAGACACTTCAGAGTCCTGCCTGGGTGGTCTGCAGCCTGAATACCCTTGGGCCACAGTTTGGGAAGCACCCCCATCCCCGTGGCATCCTTCATTCATCCAACCCACAATCTGTAGGCAGGGAGGATACAGCCCTCAAACCAGAAGTGTTTTTGGAGGGTGTGGATCCCTTCTTAGGGCCCCACGCATGCCCATTCTCCAAGTACAGACAGGAAAGGCAGGACAGGAGCCAGTGTCACGGGACAGAATGGGTCACCCCAGCACCTGCAGGAGGGCCTGGGGTGTGCCTTCTGGCCCCAGCCTCTCGGACAGGGCGAGGCAGCCCTACAGTCTCCGCCACTTGCTGCAGCAGGAAACCTTTGGGCCACATGTAGCCGGAAGGACGCGTGCATTCTGATGGCATTTTTCAGGAGCATCTGGAACCATCGCAGGCCTGTGCGGCAAGGGCCTGTCACCGTGCGTTCGCCCAGGCCCTTCCTGCAGCAGGCGGCTAACTGCAACCTGATCACGCAGTCCCTCTGGAGAGCCCCACGCTGGTCCACACTTCCTCCTGCCTCCCAGGCAAGGACTAGGGTCTCTACACTGCTTCCTGGAAAGTGGTCCTTCCAGCCCCAGGGGACTGGCTGTGGCTCTTCCCCCATGCCTGGGGCCTGGGTGGCGGAAGCCCAAAGACAACCCAGAAGGCTCGCTGACAAACAGCCCCACAGGCCTCTTCCCGCCCACCCTGGGACACCAATATCAAGATCTGATCAATCTAGGTACAGGTTCCCCCAACTGGTTAAAAAACAAAACCACCGCCTCATTAGGGTTGTGTTTAGGAAAAAATTAGGATTAGGGATGTAACAGGCCCAACACAGCGTATATATACACGTATGTGCTCTGTAAACCCCCTTCTGGGTTTCACCTTTCCTTCCCATTCAGAAACCTACCATTTGTGTCCAGAGTTAAAGGCTAGAGGCCAGGATGTGCCTGAACATGCCCACAAATTCTGGAGGAGCCATGAGAAGAGGGACTGTCCCTCGTGTCCAGGGAGTGTGCTATCACTGTTACGACGGGGGGGGGGGGGGGGGGGGGGGGGGGGGGGGCGGTGCCAGCACAGGCATAACTGTAACAACAACACTGTCACACACGCCTTGGTCGGCTCCGAGCTGTCTTATCTGAGAAAGCAATCTTTTTGGTGCTGCTGGCTACAAGTGTCCTGCCTACCCCGTCCCGTTGTCCGACACTGCTCTCGGACACCAGGCCCCTCGCCCAGCTCTAACACTCAAAACGTAGCTCAGCCCAATATGGGGCAGGCTGGGAAGGCACGTCTAAATGGGCGCAGCAGTACTAAGCCAGCTGGAAAAGGCACCCTTAGTCTGTGTTCCACTCTAATAAACAAACATCAACGTTGTTTCCCCACTGACCCTGAGACACGGGAATCGCCACATCTAAGAGTGGATTCCAGGAGCACAAAACTGACAGGGGGTCTCCTGTGAGGGTTCTTTCCAAAGAGAAAACGGAGATGGGACCGGGGGTGGGGGGGGTGGGGGTGGGTGGGATGGGGATACTGTAGACGAAGTCCTCCTGAGGAGAGCATGTGGGTGGAACCGGGTAGAAGATTTAAACAAACAGAATGCATCACTATGGAAACATTCGGCTTTTTCAAAGGCATTGTTAAGAAAAATAAAGCCATTCAACACTTTACAAGTGCTATGACCAGAAAAGGCAAAGTGGGTCTTAGATATTCTGCAGCCAAGTAAAAGCTGCCAGAATTCAAGGAAGTATTCCCAGCAGGGCAGGCACCCATCATGTGTCAGGGATTTCTCTAAAGGCCTCCAACTGGGGCATTCTGCTCAGTGCAGAGCCCACTCAGCTCGTGGGGTGGGGGTGGGGGGTGGCTGCCACGACCCAGGTCAGGAGTCGGTGCCACCCACTGACCAGGCCCAGACAGACCTGCCACGCGCAAGGGCAAGTTCGTATCAGCCATGGAGGCCACAGAGCGTGAGTGCCAAAGGGAAGCGTCAGGTTTATGGGCCGTGATCCGAACTTATTAGCAACTGTCAGTGCCGGGTGAGTTAGTGGTTTAAGTCAACAACATGGATCACGATTTCAATTCTGAGGATACAATCTGAGGCTGCGTGTACACTGTTCTGAGGCAAGTTCTGTGCTTTGAGGCAAGCTGCCTGTTGTGAAGACATTTTTATATCTAAAGTTGATTTAGAGAGAGACAGAGGTCAGGAAAGGGTCAGAGAGAGAAAGAGGATTCTAAGCAGGCTCCGTGCTGCCAGCACAGAGCCCAAGAGGCTTGAACTCATGAACCATGAGATGAAGACTTGAGCTGAAACCAAGAGTCGGTCACTTAATCCACTGCACCCCGTCAAGACATTTTTAGTGTATAACCTGACCCGTTTCCTTAGGGCGTCTGCTGACTGCAGTGGGGCTGTCGGTAAGCATCATGAAGAAGCCTGATGCTGAGTTCAAGCATCATTCAGAGCCCCCAGACGGACTCACAGGTAAGAATGAAGAGTGGAAGGGACCATGCATCCACCCCAGAGTTTGCTGGGATACGATCAAGAAACATTGTTCTGGGTCACTTGCCAGGAAGGTTGGATGAGAATTTACCTAACTTGCCAAGAAAGTGGATGCTGTCCCCCCAGAATGAGCATCCCTAGTTAAATGGCCCATTATTAGTCCAGTAGGCAGGGCAGTTTCTGACTAGGAGCCGCTAATACTAAGGAGAGATGAGCCCCAGATGCCCGCCCTCGTGCCCAGGAATGCAGAAGACAAGCAGGGGGCCCTGGCAGTCAGCTCTGCCAGCGGGGGACCAGGGTGAGCTGGGTGCCCCGCGGTGCAGGAGCAAGGCCCCAGGCTCCGGCTCTCAGGGATGCCCAGCAAACTCTTCGGCCTACATTCACGACGGCACAGTTTAAGGACTCACCTGCGGTTGGAATTCTGCTTCTGCTGCTTCACAAGTCCTATTAAACCACTTAACCCTTCTTGGGGGCTCAGCTGTCTGGTCTCTACAATGGAAATAGTATCTCTTTCTTGCAGGGCTGTGGGGAAGATCAGGGATTAAGTCTAAAAAGCTCCCAAGACGGTGCCTGGCAGTTTATTAAAGCTCAAAGAAAGGGAAACAAAAAATTAAAGCTGTTTTTCTTCACGCCATGTTGTTGTATTTGCTTCCTCTTGCTATACAAGTAGTGTTGGCAAAGTAACTTTGCCCCTAATTCCTAGGTAAGATCTATGTCCAGGAAGACACGGCACCAGGCTGGTACAGTCACTGAGCATTCTTTGCCGAGTTCTGGGATTCCTGTCCAGTCCCAAACCCTGTACTGTGACTCTATGGCACATACCTACTTCTCATCTCAAAAGTGACATTATGGTAGTGGTAAAAAAAAAAAAAAAGAGAGAGAGAAAAGGCAGGTCTAGCACTGGACAGCAAGAAACAAAAGCTAAGACCTGTGCTCTCAGATGAAGACGCCCAGGTGGTGGGCCAGGCTGTCAGCTGTCGAGCAGAAATTCATTACCCTGACAGACATGGCAGTGATGAGTGAAGAGATCAAATCTGCAGCTGACGCAAGGGGAGATCATGACCCTACATTAGGAGGGATGCCATAAGACTGGGAACCATCTGCCAGCTCTTTCATTTGTAGGACTGGAAGAGGAATTTCCCAGTGGCATGCATCAAACTCCACACCGAAGCCGGCTGTACCGCCCTGGCCAGATTTTGTTTAGTAAGAAACCAGCTAGGGATCAGGGGTTTTATTTTATTTTTATGGTGATTTGTATCTCCCTCCCTCACTGAAAAGCACGTTATAATGCTCACATTTTATAAAGCACTTGGTGTTTCTTACAAAAAGGAGCTATCCATATGTGAAACATTTAAAGAACGCGGTGGGAGAACCCCAACGCAAGAAGCCAGAAAGCTTGTCGGAGAACAGGGCCTGGTCAGGCCTGGTGTTACATCTGAGCTCTAGGGAAGGGCCTGACCAGCCTTTGGGACTTCACTGTGATCACAGAGGCCATAAATCTTAGAGCATGGAATGGAAACAAGATCAAAAGCAACAAGGCTCTGTAAATTTTCCCCACAGGGAGCTAGGGAAACTAGCTTAATTCTCTTGCCCTGTTTTCATCCACTTGAATCCATTTTCTTTCTCTCAAGTTCTCCATATCTCGGTTTGGAATCAATCTGGCACAGTGCTCCTGAGTCAACAACAGGTCAAGAAGACACGTGACTTTATGATGCAATAGATGGCAGCCACTCTGTCCTGTTTTCGGAACTCTGGTGACATCACGGACTAAGGGCTGGATCTCAGGAACTTGTGTCTGAGAGAGCACTGAGTCAGAAGAAGGTTGTCATCATAGGCCCCTGAAATTGAAAACAACTCTTAGGTAACTGAATCTATCCCCACAGGACTGCTCCCGCTTCTATCTGGCTCTAAATGACTCAAGTCATTCTCTAGGGGAAATCCATCTATGTGGGACAGCTGTCACCAGCGGCACATCTGCTGTTCTTCAGCCTAAATTTCTCATGACATCACTCACCTACTTCTCCCTCTGAGGGATGGTTTTCTCTCATGTTATAAGTATGCAGGCGGCTGCCCGAAGACGGCTGGGCGAGATAACACAGCCTCCACTCTTCACTCAGAGGCCTGTAACCTGTCTGTGTCCCAGGAAGGAGGCTCTGGTAAATAAAGTGCTCCCAGAGCAGGCAGCTTTCCATGACAAAGCACACAAGCCAAGATGCTGAGGAGTCACGGCAGCCTTCCACAAGGCTGAGAAGCCACCTCTGTTTGGGTCTCCGCAGCTGTGGGCCTGCGGGGGCTCCAGAGTCAGTGACACATATTTGTGGCTCCACTTCACCAAGTCACAAGGAACGAACATGTGCGGATCTACGCCAGAGGCAAAGCGCATTCACGTTTCTTCCAGTGAAGCAGGGAGGGCAGGAGAAAAATGGCTTATGGACAGAATCACCCATGGGTACGGCCACAGCAGGTTTTAATTTGCCTAAAGAACATATCGCATACGATTTCAAGACATGATCAGGGAGCACTGTCCCCACAGCACACGTACTGTGAATGGGGGCTGCTGGCTGTTGTTTAACAGGACTCTGAGCTGGGAAACAACCCACACCCTCACCCTCCAAGCAGCTGCACCGTGAGAGCAGCTGGACCGGCCTCTGGAAGTCTCTTCAGGGCGGGAATCTCAGCTCAGTCTCAGCACAGCTCCTCGCAAAGACCGCCTGTCACCAGCGCGCCCCTCTGGGGTCTGGATAAACCGTCCGGAAGGTCAGGTTTATTCTCGGTTCTCTGGAGTGGTACTCTTTGGGCACTCGATGCTAAATGGAAAGACAGACAGCTCTGACATAAACACACCTATGAGGACGCAGCCCCCTGCCACCCCCTCCCGCCCCCCCACGAGTATCAGTAAGCTCTCTGAAGTCTTGCGGAGAAAGGTTCTTCTCTGAAGAACAAGTCCCACCACCGTTACTCTGATAAGCCAGCGCCCGCTCAGTGAGGCATTTTCATCTCTTCTAGTTGTTGTTCTTCCTTCCTCTCAGCTCCCTGCCACTTCCCCAAGTCTCCTGAGACAAAATGGAAACGGCCGGGATCAAAGACCGGCGTGAGACTCCACTCTCGTGCCAAGCATTCTTAGGAGACTCTGCACACCTTAAACGTGAGCTGGCGTTAACATGGCCTGGCCCGAGCTGCGGAGCTGTGCGGCCCAGTGTGATGTGCTAGCCCCTGGCTGCCTCATGCTATTCAAACTTACTTAAGTTCAAGTAAAAATCCAGGCCTTCCACACACTAGCCACATTTCAAAGGGTCAAGAACAGTCATGTGTATAGTGGCTACTACACGGGGGCTTGAGAGAAAAAAAGAACACAGAAAGTACTGCGGCACGCTGCTGCTGCAGAGGTCCGTTCTGACGGTCAGTGGCATCAGAGCCCTTTGACAACGACATCACTGTATGGCCTCTCGCTCATGATAAAAGCACCTTGCTTTTTACCACATCTATTACAGAAAGTAACAATCACGAGCTGTCAGGACACTGCCTCCACATGAGTGAATCCAAATTACTTGCACGTTCTCACCTGCCAGTCGGCTTGTGTAGCTCCTTCCATGATTAACAAGGTCCCATGATCCAAGGGTATCTTCACTCTTTCCACATAGGTGTAGTCTCCATTCTCTTCCTACAAAACAGCATTCACTGCACTACATTTTTTGTTGTGTGATCAAGACGTGACAGAAGCTGACGATGGTCAAGAAATGCAAACCTCTACCCAGCTAGACTGTAGGGGTTCATTTCCTGGCTCTGTCACTCGGCAGCTGTTTGCCCCGAGGTAAGCTGTGTCACCGTCGGTACCTCCATTTACTCATCTGCAGAATGGGGACGATGACCGGACCTGCCACACAGGGCTGCTGTGAGCCTCCACCGATCAAACACGTGTAAATTTCTTGGTGACTGGCACGCATTAGGTACAGTATAGGTGCCAGCTATTATTGTCAGTGTCTAAAATGCAGAAAAGCCCATTCTTACCTGTGAAGAAGTCAAGTCATTCATACAAGGACTCTTCACATCTGCTTCATGCTGTGCTCTGTGTTCTGACATAGTGTGGAAAACAGGCTTTTAGACAAGGTGTGGTGCGATGAGTGCTCACTGCCTTTTTAGAAATTATGATACCTCATTAATTGGTACCTACGTTAAACTAGTCACAACTCTCCCTATAGCTAGCTCCTCTGGTGTCTCGGACATATATTCTTGTTTCTTTCCAGTACAGTCAACAGCAGGATTTTCTTAAAGAAGGAAGCTCTGGCTTGACCAGGACAGTGTTGCAAACTGAGGCTGGCCATCTAAGCCTGAGAGCATAGATCATGACACCTTGGATACAAATGCCCCTCTCTTCCAGAGAGCTCAAAGTCCATTCATGTCCAGGCCTCTACTAGAAGCTTCACAGAATGGCCTGCAAAACAGTCAACAGGTGGGGTCACTCCTCCTTTGCAGCTGACAAAGCGGTGCGTTTAACAACTTCCGTGCTCACGGCAACGAGGAGCTTATCAAAAGTTGAGACCCAACCTTCCTGATTTTTCCACTTCCGTTCTGGGCAGATCCACCCGTTCATCCGCTTCACTTCGGATACACGGGGTTCCATTTACATTACCGCAGGATTGATATCACGGCAATACTGTGTTTATGTTTATTACTGTAGAAGTGCTTTGGAGAACCTAAGTATTTACAATGATTTCCTTCAGGATAATCAAAATCAAAACAATAATGAACTTGCATAAACAGTTTAAGTTCTAGGTCCCAACCCTCGGCAGTGACTTTGTCGAGCACTCATAACTTTTCCAGGCAGAAGATAAAAGCAATGTTTGGAAATAACTTTTGGTTTCAGGGATTAATTTTAATTGTGCCTGCCGCCTTTTCTTTTTCTGTAGCAAGTAAGTGCGAAGCATTAACCTCTGACCCCTCAGCCAATCAGAAGCAGTGGGAAGGTGACCCTGTTCTCTGGTGGCCCAGCTGCATCTCAGAAAAGCAAAAGGCGGCTCTCTGGAAAAAAGGAATCCAACCAGACATGTATGTCCTACTGGAGAAAAGATATCAGAAGGGAGTGCATCAGCCATGAGATTAGATGGCTCCAGGCTCCTTGATTTGGGCTGTAAAGTCAGTCACCAAATCAAGGTTTAGCACAGCTACGAACATACCTCCTGCCCTCTACAAACTCAGGGAGTGCAGCAGGGTCTTCATCTGCAGCTCAAGCACAGACAAGAAGACAGAGCAGCAAAATGGAGTAGAGAGGAAAGAACCTGAGTCAGACCCTAAGACAATCCGGAGACGAAGATCTCTTAGAGCAGTAAAAACATCACTGGCGAAGAGGGGGTGCCAAGGCCAATGGAAGAGATGGGGTGAGCACTGTAATTCTGCCTGGACACAGGCAGCAGGGGGAGACGCAGCGAGTGAGAAGGCATTCCAGACGCAAGGGGGAAATACCAGCACTCAAGAAAGTGATATTCAACAGAGCCAGGTTTCACTTCATGTTCCTAAGATGTGAATTTTTCAATTGAGAGAGCCACAGGTTGATTTTCAACACACCGCCTCCAATGTAACCTTTAGTTGTACATAAAAGCAGAAGACGGTGATCCTTCATTTGGGATGGAGCTACTTTTTTTTTTTTTTTTAATGTTTATTTATTTTGAGAGATTGAGAGTGCGAGCAGTAGAGGGGCAGAGAGAGGGAGGGAGAGAATCCCAAGCAGACTCTGCACTGTCCGTACTGAGCCTGACACGGGCCTTGATCTCAAGACCATGAGATCATGACCTGAGCCGAAATCAAGAGTCCAATGCTTAACCAACTGAGCCACCCAGGTGCCCCAGGAATGGAGCTACTCTTAATCAATCTCTGAAGGAGACAGTGATACCCAGTACACCCACTAAGAGAGGTGATGTCATTACTTTGCTGGTTGTTATTTATTCCTTCCAATCCGTTGGCTCAGAAAGCACATTCCTAATTTGCAGAAGGAGAAAGAAAAGAGGGCAAGGGGTTCTACCAAGGCAACACAGAGTTCACAAACGCTTTCTTCTTTTCTCGAGGCCAGGGTGCCAACAGACCCCAGAGCCACTCTGTAACTTAACCAAGACACACAGAGACTTCTTCCAGCAGGAAGCACATAAAAGGCCAGTGGAGCTCACGCGGCAGTGCATAAAGGCTCAAATTGATAAATGGATAAGCAACACTGGAAGCACCAGACTGTTTAGAGGAGTGCATTCATGGCCATTAGGCATGGTTAAGTTACCAAAACAACTGCTCTGTAACCCTTTTGATTTACTTAGGTCTTTTTTCAAGACAAAACAAAAAAAGCAAAACACACGCCTAAAAAAACCACAGCATAGGATAAAATTTTCCATCTCTGACCCTGGTTAAAAGAGGCTTTCTAGGGGCACTGAGCCTGCCCCTTTTTAGGGGCAGCAGAGCATGTGACTTGAACTCAGGGTCGTGAGTTCAAGCCCCACATTGGATGTAGAGCTTACTAAAAAAAAGAGGCTTTTAGGGTTATAATCAGTCCACAGGGTGGGTTTTGTTGTTGTTGATGATTTGGTTTTCCACACACTCAAAATTTCACAAGTAGATAATGCAAAAAATATATTCTTCTATATTAATTCTGATCGACACTGCCCCTCCACCCCCACCAAGCACAGCCAGTTAATCTGAAAACTCAATTATGATCCCCAAGGTCTTCTGGGCCCTCCCAAAGTTCTACATTCTCACCTCTGCCTCCCGACACAAGGCTCCTCAGCTTCCTTTAGAAAAATGGTATTTAGGGGAAAAAAATCTGGGCATATTTATCATTCTGTCATTACTAACTATCCAACAGACAGGAAGCCTCAATATTTTTGTTGGAAAGGTAAGTTCACATTTTACAAGCTCTATGTAGACTTTTCATGGAATCACTCCTTTCTTGTCCTAAAAAGGTGTCTTAGAAACTACACAACCATCAATGCTTGAAAACCAGCAACAGCATAGTATTTCTACCTACTGTAAGAGTAACACAAGTTCACTGAAGTAAATGACACACTCATGAATTACCGGTTCAAGGTCTGTCCTCTTACTCTCTGATACATTCCATGAAGAGAGGATTATGTTGGCTTGCCCTTTTGAAAAGTGCTATCACACATACCAACAAACATGGGAATGACTGAGGAAAAGCAGCAGGAAAGCACAATCCTCTTAGCCAGAATGCATGCAACGTACACACAGGAAGCACTGTATACAGATAATCACGTACTTTACATTTTTATCATTATATTGTGAGCATGTGTTTACACATGTTACATATTCCTTTACATGAACATATCTTTCCTTCTTCAAATCACAAATATTTTTCGACCAGCTATATTATGTCAGCCACTGTGCTAATGCTAAGAATAGAGGAGTGAGGTACATGCTATTAGACACTGAGATTTTAATATACCAGTACTGATAAGAAAAATTTAAAAAAGAAAAGAAGGAAGAGAAAGAAAGGAAAGAAAGACAAAAGGAAGGGAGGGTGGGAGGCTACTACAAGTAGATCCTGGGCAAAACACTTCTGAGTATTTTTCTAAGGACGTATTCTCAAAAATGGAATTACTAGATCCAAGGATATGGACCTTAAAGCAGTTGGATTTATATTACCAAAGAGCTTTCTCAGGAAGGTTGTGGCAATTTCTAATTCCAGCAGGAAAATACAGCAATACCTATCTTTTCCTAACATTGAGGGGGAAAATGACAATTCATTATTCAAACAGAGAGCTCATTAATCACTAACCCAGTCCAACACTTTTTCACATGTCTATTTGCTGTTTGCACTTATTCTGCTGTGAACTCTCTGCTCATGTTCTTTGACCATTGTTCTACAGGATGTTGTATTTTTCTTACTGATCTGTAACCACAGATAGTGAGATATTTACCCTTTGTCATAGTTTCTGGAAATATTTTTCTCATTTGCTATTTGTCCTTTAACTGTGTTTATGATTTTTAACACAGAGTAGCTCAAAAACTTTTAGAGTCAACTCTGACCTTTCTTTGGCTCTCCTTCATGGTTTTTATGCTTAGATAGTCTTTTCTCATCCGGACAGAAGTTAAATATACAACTGCATTTCCTTTTTGGTTAATAAAAAAGAGTTTACATTTTTTAGATTTAACTCTTTAATCTATCTGGAATTTGGTGCTTTCCCCCCCCACAACGCTTCTTTTTATAATAGTTTCCAAAGTGTTTTTGGATAGGATCAACCACAGGGGATGCTGCCCAGGTGCCGGGCACGTTAGGAATTATGTGTATGTCACGGCTAATGCTCATCACAACCCTGTAAAGGTGGTATCTTCCATTTTCTCATAAGCAATAGGAGCTAGAGGGAGAGCACATCTCTAGGGCAGAGGCTGACAGGAGGCAGGCAGGGCTGGTACTGGAACTTCGGTCTGCTCACTCTAAAGCTTATATTCCTTCCACTGCTCTCTCCGAAGCGCTCTCTTTTCCTTCTGGAATTCTGTTATATTTCCTGTTCTAATTACAAGGCACCATGACTGAACCAAAGGGGCACCAACACCAGCGAGCAGCACAAATGAGGAGTGGGGGCAGGACACAACACAGCGGGCAGTGGGAGCCACAGAGAGCCGGAGAGCAGCGGCCTGCACAGAGGGGTAGCCACTGTGTAGCTC